AAAAATTTTAAACTACCATATACAAAATACTTTGTAAGAATAGGTCCGAGGTTAAGGACCTCAGACATATTGCCATATTTCATTAATGACTGAAGTAGCCTGCAAGCTCATTTCTTCTCGATCGTGTAGTAGCATGACAGTTACAATAGACACGTCTGCTCCCGATTCTCTATCCTCGAGATAATCGCTTAAATGGACACGTCAGATTTCGATTATCTTGTTAAGCAGGCCACGTGGATATCTCATTAAAACTTATAAATATCCACAGGGCCACCTCAAAAAGGTAATTGAAATTGACTAAAACTTCTTTTTTCATAATTCTTAAAGGTAGACTAGATTATTGCTGACTTAAGTATCAAAGTTTCTACCCTAAGGATCTACCTCGAGGATTGTAGGTCATCCCAAAGAGAAGACTTGGACCGGAAGAAGTTACCTGGTTTGTTGCAATTACAAGTACTAATCCTATTTTGCAAGACAAAACATGGTGTGTTCCAAAACCTTCTACCACTGGTGCAGAACTTGAAGCAAACATGAACTTTGCTTGTGCTGAAGTTGGGGCTCTGGGGCAGACTTGCATGATGATACAACAAGGCGGCCCATGCTGCTACCCCAATAACCTCATCAACCATGCATCAGTCTTCATGAATTTTTACTACCATCTCTTGAGAGGAAATGGATGGAACTGCAACTTCAGGGGTTCTGGACTACTTGCTTTCACCTATACCAGTAATTAACATTTCTTAGTTGGTTGTTACTGGTTTATGTCACACTTTTTACACTTTCTGTTTTGATCTATTTCTGCAGGCTACAAGAGCTGCCAGTATCCATAGATGGAGGACATGCCGAGGCTGTGAAGTTTAGTATTATTATGGAAATAACGTGTGACTGAAGCCATGTACTCCTTCCATGAACTTCTTAGGAGATTTTTTTTCTGTTTTAAGTCTAATATAATAGATGTATATCAAAATTTTCTTCAGTTCCATTAACATATTCTACTTAGCTATGAATTTTTTTTTCTTATATTGTGTAGAGATATTGAATTCCTGATCTGAATCATTTAAAAATATATGGTTCCAGCACCTTGTGATATGATTTCAGATTGGAAATACTGAATGCTGTATTCTGTCAGTCCTAGTTCAGAAAAAGTACTAATCTTGGAACGCTTCAGCTCCTTTCAAACACTATTGAAGGTCTGTTTGGCTTCTTTAGCTGTTTGGTTACAAGAGGTAGGCTGAGATTGAGGCTTTCAATTCTAAACAAATTTTATGAAACTTCATCAGCAACAACATGAAAGCTTCAGGGCTTGACCATTCAAAACATTTAGCCCACAAATAGACATTACCTTGGACCAATTTTAGCAGATTCCATTTTGAGAAACAGGACCTCATTAGTTCTTGGCTTATTGGATCCAGCCTCTAAAGACTCCTGTGATATCATGAATACCTAATTAATCATAGCAAATCAGAATTTAATTTCATACCATTACCATCTTGCTACAAAGTAAGGATATGTATACATTCGAAATGATACCGATCGATGATACCGATCGATACAATGATATGTTAACATCTCAAAAGAAAGACACACACCAAGGATATACAGTTTTCATTGCTGGATTAATTTCTGTATTTGTTTTCTTCATAACCCCAATAAGCCCACGTTTATGCAACCATTTTCATCAAACTGCACCTGTCGTTGCTAATTCTGTTGATATACGCCCGTGAATAAATCATGTTATCTATTCAGGTTACCTACTGCATCCATAAGCATATGAAGGTCCAAAATTTCCTACTCCTCCACTGGAAAATGATACAGCATGGAAGGTTAACTCCAAACTTTTCACTTTGCCATATATTAGCTCACACGATAGTGCTTCAAGCAGTTGTGAAAGCAATGAATTCCTACTTATATTGTATTTCAACTCCAACTATCTCTTCCTTCACTGGTCTTCACTGCCTTCACACAATCACGATGGCCAAACCAGCTCTTTTCATCCTCATTTTCTACCTTCCAATTCTGCCCGTTGTTTTACTCAGGTATTTACTTGCTTTTTCCGATTATGCTTTCCTGGTCTTCACAACCTTTCTGTTTCTAATGTTAATTTTTGCAGAACTAAATTTAGACGTTGCCGTGGACAAGTTTTCCGAATCTAAATCTTTGCATTCCACCTTTTTGCTCCTATCATGCCTTCCTGATCTTTACAACCTTTCTACTTCTAACATTAATTTTTGCAGGAGTGTCTGTTGGGGTTGCCAATGGACAGGTAAGTTCTTGAATGATTCTTCTCTTTTGCCATGCTATTTTCACTTGAAGATACTAAGAAGTTTTTCTCTCAAGATTGTTAATTTGTTATGAATCCATTTGAAGTTGCAGAGGACTTTGTGCGTCCCAAATCCAATGTCCAGCAACTCTGAACTGATGGCAAACCTAGAATATACCTGCAGTAAGGTAGATTGCTAAGAAGCTACTCTCCCTCTAGCAAAAGTATTAAATATTGCAAGTAATATAATAATAAAAATTAAGTGTAGTTTTATAAAGATAATAGATTAATTAAATACTAAAATTGATTAATTTTAATTTTTTCATAAATAATTAATTTTAATTTTATTTAAATAATTAAAATTAAATAATTTAAGTGAATTAATTAATTAAACTAATTAAAGAAAAAAATTGACTTGACTTTAAATGATACTAAGAGTTAGAATTTTAAGATATTTTGATTTTAGCATAGTTAATTAATGTAAAATTTAAATTAATATATTTTTAAAATTTTTATTATATATTTATCCCGATAGTAAAATTTTTTATACTATTTGATATTTTTTAAAAAAATTATCTTAAATATATCTTTATTTGTTAATATATATATTTCTATGTAAATTTAAATTATATTTTATAAA